AAATGAGTTGGCATGTTCAGAGGTGTGAGAATTATAGGGTTTGAGAATTTTAGGAGACAGCCAAGTGGCGACTATGTGGGACTTGAAATCTCTGCCTAGCTGGAAAGTCCAGAACACAAGGTGCTGGGACTAGTGAAACCCTAGGTTTTCCTGGGGAGTAAAGTGTGAGAACTGATGTGTGGAGAGGAGCATGTTGAGAGGTTACATTCACCCACCACCTGCAGCAAGCAGCAGGCCACCTTTACTCTGATTGGAGTGGCATGTTGCATCAGAAGTCACTGAGAACCTGTGGAGTTTTTCCACAGCAATCCATGTTGGAGTCTGAGAGGGTGGAGGGAGGAGGAGGATGAAGGTCTTGTTGTGGGCCAGAGGGCAAGCACAACGAAGGAGGAGTAGTCACTGGCTGAGGCTGTGCAGGCCTGCATCCCAAGGCCACAGGTGGCCAGACAGCAGTGGTCCACAGTGCTGGAGCATCAGTGTGCATGGTGGTGTTGTGCCTGTGTGCACAGTGGGGAAGCCCAGATGCAGCTGTGAGTTCAGAGTGCAGGGAGACCCAAGAGCCAAAGAAGTCCCAAAAGGATGTTAGGGATGTATGCTGGACTGATTGGAGCGTGAGGTTGGAGGTCCTATCCTAGAAGCCAGCGCTGTCTAGGGAAGGAGTAGCCGCAGAAGCAGGGTCGGGGGGCTGTGAGGAAACACTCCTCCTGGGTCTTCACAATCAGATGTAAAGTTGGAGTTCACTTCAGAAGCAGAAATCCACACAGAATACAGTTCAGCTTAAAACAAGCTTTATTGGGAGCACTTCCTGGTGAGATTCACTGGTCTGGTACAGACAGTGGGCCAGAGAAGGGGACATGAGGTGTTTTATGTAGGAGCTGTAAGGTGAGGGTTGGGGGACAAAAGAAGGTGCCTTCTTAGGTGCTGAAATGTTAAAGGCTCTGACCTTGGTGAATCCACCTGGTGAATCCCAGTGCGGCCTTACCAGCCACACTTCTCGGCCTCCTCCTGGGCCGCCCCACATCCACCACGGCTAGGCCTTACAAATACAAGGCTAAGGTTAAAGTCGACATCTCCTTACTTCTAATCCACTCAACTGAAGAAGACTTCAGGTAATCCAAAAGAAACAACACCGTTCAAATTACTGGCAGTGTTTTCACTGGGCCAAAACACTACTTCAACAGAGTCTGAGAGAGAGACTAGGCAGAAGAAAGACCAGCTGCCTGCAACATCCAGAGGAAAGGGAGGCAGGTGGGAGGCCTGAAGGCAGACACTGAGGCTCAAGTCCCCAGAGCAGCCAGCACAGAAGCTCAAACATCATCCCAGGTCAGGAACAAACAGAAAACTGTACATGCAGAACAGGAACTGTCAAGTCTCTCTTTTTTTAATTAATTAGATATTTTATTTTTCAGGAAAGGTAAAATAGAACACAATTTGTGCATGACAACCACAACATAAAGACAGCATCTGAAGAGAAAACTTGCAGACATAAAAGACCATGGAGAAGGGAAACAGAAGACCTGCAAAGAGCACAAACCCCTGCAGAGACAGCCAGAAACAAAGGCTAGAGCTCATGCAATGTGAGGAATACAACACAACAGATACCAGCTAGGAAACAGAAGCAAATGGAAACACTTGGACCAAAGAATACAAGAGAGCAAAAGGGAAGAGGAAGACACACCATTAGCATAACCAAGGTAAAAGAAAGAATTTCAGAATTGGAAAACACTTTCTTCAAGCACACACAAGTAAGCAGAAATTTGGAAGAGGAACTGAATAGGTTACAAAAACTCTCCAAGAACAGAATGACACCTTTTAAAAATGTACTATAACAGTTATAGGAGAGCCAGGAGGCGTGGCCTAGTGGTTAAAGTCCTCGCCATGAATGCTCCGGGATCCCATATGGGCGCCGGTTCTAATCCCGGCAGCCCTGCTTCCCATCCAGCTCCCTGCTTGTGGCCTGGGAAAAGAGTTGAGGATGCCCCAAAGCTTTGGGACCCTGCACCCTTGTGGGATACCCGGAAGAAGTTCCTGGATCCTGGCTTCGGATTGGCACAGCATCGACCATTGTGCTCACTTGGGGAGTGAATCATCGAACAGAAGATCTTCCTCTCTGTCTCTCCTCTTCTCTGTACATCTGACTTTCCAATTAATAAATAAAAATAACTCTTTAAAAAAAAAGAGTTACAGGAGTCCCTAAAGGCGTGGAAAGAGAGACAGGATTGAACAGTGTATTCCAACAAAGTATAAAAGAGAATTTTTGAATCATTGGGAATGTAATGAAGTGCAGAGGACCCCAAACAGATTTGACCCACAAGGACCCTCACCTAGAAACATCATTGTCAAGCTCTCTTCTGCTGAACATAAATTAGAGATACTGAAACAGGCACAAAAGAACGATCAGATAACATATAGGGGAGCACCCATCAGTCTGTCTTCAGCCCTGACTCATATGTAATCCAATGGATGCTGCAGCTGAGTCCATCCCTGTCCACCTTATACTCAGGCCTCACTTATACTGGCAGAAGCAACAGCTTAGTCAGAGCAACCCCCAATGACCCCCACTTGCCCTGCCCCCAGCCCTTGCTCCTGTGCTTGCCAGTATGTGCAACAGATTGGTCCAGGCTACCCCACATCCCATTCAGCTGCCATAAATGTCAAATGAATTTAAAACCTAACTCAACCCAACTGGCCTCACTATCCAGCCCACACTCATGCCAACTGCTGTCACTGCCTGTCTAGCAAGGTCTACCTCCAGGTGCTCATGCTCACGAGTGGGAGTTGCAGCGCATCAGAGAGGTGTCCACAGTTTTCCTACTTGACCCATTCCCAGCCCTTCATCTTGCACTCTCCAGGTACTTCTGCAGTCTAGCTTGACAAGATTTGCTTCCAGGCCCAGTACTTGCCAATTGATGCTATAGCAAAGCCCAACAAATCTACACTTACTCAGGTTTTGCACTGCATCCTGAAAAAGCAGTTCCCCAAACCCTTCTATCAGGTCTCCTCCAGCGGGAGATCTCATGCACACTGGTAGGTCCGTGGCCCAGCCTGACTTAGTCCTCCTCTCCTGGCAAGTACAGTGGCCTTGCCCAACTGGACCACACCCATTGCTGTTCTTGTTGTTGGGTGCTTTAGCCCAGCCATACTTGGTCCAATACAGACACAGCACTTGCGTGGTTCAGTGTGTGTTGAGACATATCCCAACTTATTCTATCCCCACCCTCGTTCTCATGAGCACCAGTGGGTGCTGGGGTTAAGTCCTATCTGCCACAGCCCAGACCCTGTCCTCATTTTATGTATAACAAAATTTCTCTTATAATCAAATGTTGTTCAAAAACATGACCTCCATTACTCGTAGGATATTGAATTTACTATACACACTACAAACATTTTTGTAAACATGTTTTACTGAGCAGATGATATCTCTTAAATATTGCTGAGGTGGGAGAGTACAATAGCTTAACTGACTAACCATCTGCCTGCAAACTCTAACATCCGGTAGGGGTGGTAGTTTGTGTCCCATCCACTCTACTTCCCTTCCAGGTCCCTGCTGATTACCTGGGAAAGCAGTGGAGGATGACTCAAAGCCTTGGGACCCTACACTCAAATGGGAGATGCTGAGGTTCCTGGACCCTTGTTTCAGATCAGCTCAGCTCTGGCCAATGGCTATTTGGGGAGTAGTCAGTGTTGTACCGGATTTTGAGATCCCCAGAAAAACATTGAGTCAGAAGTCAATGCTAACTCATGAAGAACAGTTTAATCAGGTTAACCTAGGTCTCCCTGCTACCTCCCCCCAACCCAGAAATGCGGAATGTCCTGCTGGTTTCATGTAGACTGCCAGGCCTGGCATTCATTCAGTACCCACCCAAGCAAGTAAGGCAGAAATCATAAAAGCAGAAAACACCTAGGTTCTTCACCAGCAGATGGAAGATCATACTCTCTGTCAATCTGTCTTTCTAAAAAGAATAAATTAAGTTAAAAAGTTATATAATTACTTTATAATATAAATACATATATTAGTATATAAATATTCACCTGCAGCAGCTTCATTTACTAACAGATCTCTCTATACGCAATCTCTAAATCTTCCTCACCAGCTATCTGATTATTCTCTTATAATACATCATCTAATACTTCTGAATAATTCTGTATTAATCCTGATCCTAGCACATCAAAGGAAAATTGCTTTCTTGGGGCTGGCTCTGTGGTGCAGTGCATTAAGCCACTGCTTATTGTATTGCCATCCCATGTGTGAGTGCAAGTTCAAGTCTAGGTGCTCCACAACTGGGAAGGCAGTGGAGGAAGGCTCAAGTAGGCGCCACCTACATGGTAGACTCCAAAGGAGTTCCTACTGCTGGTGTGGGTCTGGTCCAGATGCAAGTGTTGCATCCAGTGAATCAGCAAATGAAAGAGCTCTCTGTGTTTCTCTGCTTCTTTCTTATCTCCTCTTCTCTGTTCCCTCTCTCTCACCTCTCTCTCACCTCTCTCACTTTCTGTAATTCAAGTACATAAATTTGCAAAGAAAGGTGGAATGAAACAAAGGAAAGAAAGCAAGCCAGCCAAGAAAGAAAGTCTGCCCCCACCCCAAGTCCTGCACATGCTGTGTTGTCTGGTTGCGTGGAGATGACTCAGCAGTGTCCCACAATCTCTATGATCTGTGCAAACCTGGCTTTCAAGAAGAAACTCGTGTGTTAGCCTTCATCTTTATCCCATATCACTCAGGCTCTTCCAAACTCCATGCTGTAACTTACATTATCTGTGTGGATCAAGCTAGAGTCAACACCTAAGGAATGAAGGCAGAAACAAGCAGAAGATAAACTGATAAGCTTCAGGTCTAGATGGGATGGGAGATAGTAGTCAGTTGGACTGTGGCCTGCAAGACCATGTGCTCAGGGCATATTTACTAATTATGATAAGAGCACTGGGGGAGATACTGAGAAGTCAGTGGGCAGGGATAAACTTCCTACTGAGTCCCACAAGGTCTCATTCTCCTTGGCTCCTGGCCAGTATAAAAAGGGACAGCCCAGAGGGTGGGAATGGACTTGGGGAATTCACTTTCCCATTCTCCTACCTCACCCATCTGCCTCCCACTTCCCTCACAATGCTGCCCTCAATACCAGTTGTGCTTCAAGGGTTCACTTACAGGCCAAAGCAGAACTAAGCCAATGAGGAGCAGGAGGGTCGAGAGCCTGGGCCTGAGGACTGTCGCTTCAGAGCGTGATGCTTCTATGGTCATGGCCGGTGGTGCTGAAATGTAAGCAAAACAGTTATGGCCAATATACAGATTCCTGAATCCAGAAAGCTTCCACTTTCTGCTGTCGGGCAATGTGGCCAGTCATACAACTGCCTCCCATTCCATGCTGGTCACTGTGACAGGCTCTCAGGTAGCAGGGAGGGAGGATATGTCCTACCCCAGGGAATGATCCTCCAGATAGGGGAGCCAGGTTGTCCAGATAGATGATACTCTTGCTGTCCAAGACGAGAAGAGGGACCAGGTGGTGGGTGAGATGGGTCACAGCAGTCTAGATTGGTTCTGCAGGATCCAAGACAGAGTGCAGGCAAAACAGGAAGAGCGTGATTCTAGGAAGAGAGCACAGGGAAGGAGGTCTAGACACAAGGACTGCCTCAGCTAGAAGGCTGGAGAAGAGGCAGGGAGAGTGGAGTAAAATCCATGCCCTGAGGAAGAGACAATGCAGAGGAAAAGCAGAGGTGGGAGGAGATGCAGGGAGGACACTGGGCTGGACTCTGCTGTTGTTCTGGGGAGAAAGCTCCAGGCCGGATCACTCTCAGACACACATTCACACATGCACACACAAGCACACACAATCACACATGCACACTCACACCCAGTAATGCACATAACACCCAGACTCACAACACACACACATACACACACAGAATCCACACTCACAACACATATACTCCTACCCACACATGCACACAACAGCCACATTCATATCACACACGTGTGCACACATACACACACTTGTACACACAATAATTCCCAAAGCTCTTGCTCTTACCTGTGGTCTCCAGCATTTCCTTCCTGTTCAGCAAGAAGTTCTCAAGCCAGCTCTGACAATCTCCCATTGACACTTTGCAGAAAAACTCCATCATGTGCCTGTCACTCTCCCATGTCTTCAGCCATCTGGCTCTAGAATGAAGTTTTTTCCATCTTTTATGATCCGTCTCGAGGAGGAGACATTTCTGTCCACCAATGCTTAACAGCCAGGAACCATTTTTGCGGCCAGTGGCATCACGCTCACAGCACATCTTTGCCTGCAGGCTGAGGGCATCTGTCCTCATGGGGAAAGAGATCAGCCAAGGTTAGTCTTGACAAGCCCTTGTCCACATCTGCTATCCTCTGCCCCTATCCTCTCCTTTGCTCCTGGCCCTGACTGTCCTCCCGGTTCTGCCCCACTCTACACCTCTAAAGGAAGACCACAGTCCAGTTCTGCCCATGAGAATCCTGAGTCCCTGGTTTCACAACACCCTGGTCTTTGCCACTCACCCCTGCTTGTGTAATCTGCCAGGTTCATCTCAGACAGCTGCTTTATGAGGGTGTCTGCCACATCTTTCAATGTTTCCTTCATTTCTTTTTCTTCATTGTCAGGGATATGTGTTTCATTCCCAGGGAGAATAATACATTTGGTTTTATCACAGTCACTGGTTAGAAAGATGTTCCCATCTATAAGACCTTGGACATCACACACTGGTTGGCCAGGTCGGGCTGTGGTGTTGACAGTGAAGTGATGGCAAAGAGAATGAGCATCTGTGAAGGAAAAAATGCAAGTAACACTGATGACAAGAAAAACGACTCACAGACATTCCTTCCTCCAGTTCTAGGACACTAAGGAGCCCATGATGGGTTGGGAATCAGTGAGATCACATCCCAGCCATGGCACCTGCATCCCTGACTCCTGACTTCCTCATTCATGTGCTCCTTGTAATTCATTCTGGTTCTATGAGGTACACAGGATCACCTGGAACCAGGAAGCTGCGGACAGAAGCTTTGTCCAAACACACACATTGTGCACGTTCACACTCCATCTGAACAGCAAGCCTGAAAGAGACCACGTGGATGAAAGCTGACAGCACAGGGGTGTTCTGGAAAGACTGGTGCAGATGGTGCTGGCCCTGGCAGCAGCAGGGAAGCCCTGTGTGTATGTTCCCTTTGGTGGCCACTTTCTCCTGGGAGCATTCGGCAGAGCAGACTCCAAGATGCAGAGCAAAGGCAAAGACAGGTGTGGATCAGAGGAAGAGAATTCCAGAAACAAGGTTCCAGGGTCTGTCAGGGGCAGTGGGAGATCAGAGCAGATCAGTCAGCCAGGAAGCTTTCTAGAGGTTTCTAGAGGCAAGAGTGACAAGAGACAGACTCTCACAGGCTGCTACATGGAACCCCAAAGGGAATTATAGTACACTCCAGGAAGAGAACGTACATCAGGAAACAAGAAAGACACCAGATAAATGAGCTAAGTGTATACCTGAAGGAACTAGCAAAACAAGAGCAAAATAACCCCCAAAGCAACAGAAAACAGGAAAGGAAAGAAAGGAGGAAAGGAGGAAGAAAAGGTTGAGGGCGGGAGAGTGAGGAAGGAAAGAACAGCTATGCTGGCATACTGGAATATTTAACACAAATTGGGCATTAACTGGGACCAAAATATCCACCTTCCAAAACAAACAAAAATTGAAATATCCTGTCACCATTCACCAGCTTTGCACATGATACTTAAGGCCATGTTACACACAGAAATAGAATAATAGTCATCATAAGGACACAGAGTGAAGGCACAACATCCACTCAAAGTACAAAGGCAATCCAAAACAAATAATGTGAATATTTATGGGAAAGTAGCAGGATCAAGTTGATATTTATCAGTAATAACTTTGAAGGTATGCTCACTTCGGCAGCACGTATACTAAGAACTGGAACTCTGAACTGAAGTGGATCTCATGATCCAATACAAAGACACAGACTGGCTAAATGGATTAAACAGTAGGCCAGCATGGTGGTGTAGCTCATCAGTTCTCTGCCTGTAATGCCAGCATTCCATGTGGGTACCTGTTCGAGTCCTGCCTGTTCCACTTCCAACCCAGCTCCCATCTAATGACCAGGCAAAGCATCTGAGGATGGCCCGAGGCCTTGGACTGCTGAAACCGTGTGAAAGACCCAGAAAAATCTGACACTCACTTTCAGACCAGTTCAGCTCTGACTGCAGTCATTTTTTGAGTGAATCAGCAGATGAAAGAACTTTCTTTACTCTCTCTTACTCTAACTTTGATTTTCAGGTAAAAATAAAATAAATCTTAGTATATATATATATACGCAATTGGAGCCAGTGACATGATATGGAAGCCTAATCTTGTGCTTATGGAGCTGGCATTCCATGTCCACACCAGACTGAGTCCCAACAGCTCCTCTTCTGAGCCAGTTCCCTGGTAAGAGCCTGGCAAAGCAGTGGAGGATGGCTCAGTTCCTGGGGCCCCTACACCAATGAAGGAGACCCAAGAGACTCCTGGTAGTCAGTTTCAGATAGGCTCAGCTCTGATTGCTATAGCCATTTGGTGAGTGAACCAGAAGATGAAAGATCTCTCCCCTCCCACAATCTCTGTAACTCTGGCATTCAAATAAAAATTATAAATAAACCATAAAAAGACAATCAAACAATAAAAAGACAATTGTGCCAGCATCATGGCATAATATGCTAAACATATCTCTACAGTGGTGACATCCCATATAGTGCCAACTGCGTCCCAGCTGCTCTACTTCTGATCCAGCTCCCAGCTTATGGCCTGGGAAATGAGCAGGGCATCGCTCAAGGCCTTGGGCCCCTATACCCACATGGATGATCCAGAAGAGACTCCTCGCTCTTGGTTTTGGCTCAGCTGAGCTCCAGCCATTGTGGCCATTTAGGGAGTAAACCAGAAAATGGCTGTTAGTCTTTCTCTCTCTCTCTCTGTCTCTCTTCTGGGCAACTTTGCTTTTCAAAAAAAAATTGAATTAATATTGTTTTACAAACATAAGATTCACCAGTTTCCTGCTACAAAAAAACATACATCACCCAAAACAAGATACATACAATAGAAGTATGTCCACATGTCTGCTCTTACCATTATTCAATTTAGTGCTTGAAGTTTTATCCAGAGCCATTAGGCATGAAAAAGAAATCAAAGGATACAAATTGAAAAGGAATTTGTAGATGACATGACCCTATTCATAGGAGAACATCAGGGCTCCACTAACAGCTTTTTCGAATTCATAAAAGAGTAAAGTTGCAGGATATAAAATCAGCACATGAAAATTGATAGCCATTGTATACAAAAAGTCATCGCTAAGAAAAGTCCTGTAAGATTAGCACCAATTGCTACAAAAATATTTTAAATCACTAGGAAGAAATTTAAACAAGAATGTGAGAGATCTGAACAATGAGAATTACAAAATATTACAAAAAGAAATGAAAGACACAAGAAAATGGAAAAGTCGTTCACGTTCAAGGATTGGAAGAATTAATACCAAAATGTCCATATAACTCAAAACAATTTACAAATTAAATAAGATCCCAATCAAAACACCAAGGATATTCTCTTCAGATTAAACACACACACAACACACACACACAGCAACAAAGACCCTGCTAAAACTCTTATGGAAACATAAGAAATGCTCAGTAGCTTAAGCTACTAGACAGCATCTATCATCCAGTCTGTGCTCCCCATTACCCAGAAAAAGAAAAGCAAAATGAAGGAAGAATAATGGCAAACAGACACATGAAACATGCTCAGGCTCACTTAAAGGGACATGTAATAACTGTGTGATGGAGACTGTCATATCTAGTCACATGTTATTTAACTCCATGGCATTGTAAATTTCTATTTTTCTTCCTATTGTTGATTTTGTATTGTGACTTTTCATTTAAGGGGATGTACAGTAACTATGAAATGGAGATTAACATATCCAGATGTGAGGATACAATGTAGTATGCATCTCTACTTCCAGACAAAGATGGACTTACAATGAAACTGTTTACTATATCTTGACAGTAGGATGCTGGACTCTCTAACATTGTCCATGCCCACAACGATGGACGTATGACTGTGTATGAAAAACTATACTTTAGTAATGATATAGAAGAACTAGGTGTGTGTGTGGTCGGGGGGACCTGGGGAGGGGTTAAGGGAAATCCCAGGAGCCTATGGAACTATATCATCAAATGATAAAAAATACAAAAAGACTCAAGGAGTGAGGGAGGGAGCCACTGTAGCTCAGGAAGCGATGTGGTTAAGGGGGGCAGTGAAGTGGGGAAGGAGAGGGACAGGGAAGTGTGGAGACACTGGGGGGCTTGAACTGCAGGTGGAGATGAGACCACCCAAGTCTACTAAAATCTTGACCACATCTTCAAATGGGTGGCACAAAAACGGCCCAGCCATTTCCTCACTGGTTAAAAGTCCGTGGATTAAAAAAAAAAAAAAAAAAAAAGGCCGTGGAAAGACTTCCGTGCAGATTCCTACCAGACAAGAGGCATGGGGAATGCTGAAATCCCAGACCCTTCCTCAAACCTTAGGTGTCTCTCTTCTTTGAAGAGCCTCTTTTTTTTTTTTTTTCTATCTAGGTAAATATCTTCTTTTGTTTTTAATTTTTTTTTTTAAATAATCTTCGTTCATTAGGGTACAAAGGGTCAAGGGCTACAGGGTGCAAGTGGGTAATATAATTGTTTCCACACTATTATAATCATTTTGCCCTGTATCTGGGGTTAGGGGAGTAACAAAGGGAAAAGCCCCACCCAGCCTCCCATCCATCCCCGATCCCCAACATGAGGAGCGCTCCAAGGGTCCTGCTCAAACAGTTATCAGTTCTGGATTGCTGCCAATCTCACCGTCCCAACCGCAATGAGACCTATTCAGAGTCCACTGGCTGACAGTCTGAAGAGCCTCTTAAGGTGCTTTCCCCTTCCCTCTTCTTTCCAAGTTCGGCTGATCACTTTGCAAATACAACTTCTCTGTAACTGAGTCCCCGCTTTTTATTTCTACATTAAACTAACGAAAAGCCCAACAGATTTTTCAGATATAGCAGTTGTGGACCAGGGACGACTAGGTGTCAACCAGCACTCCCAGGCTGCGCCACACCCTGCCTCCGCTCCCATGCTCACTCCCCGGGGATGGGGTGCGGTGGGTCCCAGAAGAATCCCAGCTCCCCTGTTCCCTGTTCCGGTGGGAAGGGGGCCTTTGGCCAGCCTTGGGTCGGGGTGGGGTGCTAAGCAGCCTTTAGAAAGCCCCACCATGAGAGGAGGCTCCCCGTCCCTGCGTTCTCACTCTGGCCCTGTGCCGGTGCTCCGAAGTACTCACAGGCCCCTAGCGACTGAAACACGGCCCGCAACAGCAGAACGGCCAGCAAGTGAGGCAAGTAGGGAGTCAGCTCCATCCGACCTGTGTCCTGAGTGTGGCCAGCTGCGCACTCCAGGGCTGACAGGATTCCAACAGTCTCGCTCTGCAGGCACAGCGTCCTGTCACAATCTCAGAATCCGCGGGCGCTTTTATGCAAAGGTGGGGGGGGGAAGTTGACTCATCAGCTGAGGATCCCGCCCCGCCCCGTGCTTCCTGTGGAGATCTACTGCCACGTGGCCAACTGCCATATTTCCTTAACCTTGTGCTTCACCAACACACTTATTTGATCTTTTCTTTTTTTCTTTTTTTTTTTCCTGACTCGGAGCTCACCCTGGTCCCCTGTGTGGGAGCCCGGTGGAGAACTCCGCCCGGGCTCTCTGCGCTCCCCACGCCGGCTCAGGTGGCCAATGGAGCACCAGGGACTGCTGGCATCTGAGGAGTGCTGCTGCCACGCTTCTGCCGCGGGAAGAGACACAGTTCAACCATCACCTCCCCAGAGATGGCTTTGGTCAGCCTGTTGCTCTTACTCTGAAAGCCATGGCAGTGAAGAATCTAGGCATTTTCTGCCTTTTGTGATTCTGCCTTAAAGGCTTGGCTGGGAGCTGTGTGAACTCCAGGCCTGATAGTCCACCTGACACCCTGCAGGACACCTGGCAGGTTAAGTAGGCAGACCACTCCTCAGGAAGGAGGTACCTGGTATTTGATGAAATTCACAGCCCAATAGCTCATCGATTTGTACTTTTTGAAAGTTGCTTGTTTCAAACCCACCAATAGAAGCCTGCTAAATCACGACTGTATAATTAATAGCCTGAAATGTATAAGAACTGGGGGGCTTGGGCTCTCTCTAGGTTCTGGCTCCTGCTTCTTTTTCTCCTCCCTGTGAATCCTAGCAGCCTCGGCTCGGCTGCCCCTCCCCTGCCCAGCCATGCTGGGTTGGGAGAGGTGGCTGGGATACCTAGGCTAACCTGAATAAACCACCTTTATGACTTAGCCCCGATTCAGACTTGATGATTATCTGGGGATTTCAAAAATCTGGCACGACAGCAGTAACTCTCTCCAACTTACTTTCTCTCCCTCTCTCTCTCAATAGCCACCTCCCCAACCCTGCTGCCTGACTTCAGCAACACCACAAACCACAAACGCGCCCTGGAACAAGGGTGGCAGCATGTGCTCCCGAGCACTTCAGGGAGGCAACAGGCTGCGATGTACAGAGACAAGCCCGGGCAGAGCCTCTGAGGGGCTGCTTGTGACTCCTGAAGGGCACACACTGCGCACTGCCAGGCCCCCAACTCTCTCTGCAGCTAAGGCTCCCAAGGAAGATGACGCCATCCACCAAGGCAGCACAACAGAGCTGAGCCAATACTGCCCAGCCCAGCCAGCAGCCTCTCCAGCAGCTGCACAGCTCAAGCCACTGCACACCTCTATTTATTATTATATCAAATTATATTATTATAAACTAATAATACTTTTTCTACGAGGGGTGCAGAGTTCGAGTGACATGCTAAGGATACACAGCAAATTAAAGTCAGAACTATATTGAGTGGTTCAAATATCACTTGGAAGATTAATGAGATCACACCATTTTTTTTTTAACCAAACTATTAACCAGCTTCTTTTGCGGGGCTCTGAGCCTCTCCACATTTCCCATTCCCTGCTTCCCCCACCACCGTGAGACACTCGCCTAGAGAACACTGAGCCCAAACTCAGCTCCAAGAAGCCATGGAGGGGAACACTGCTACTTCTCTTTTATATACAACAAAAAGGAGAAATGTGAGGAGTGGCTCCAATATTGCTGCAGAGATTAGTGAGACTCGCCATTTTTCCACCAGGAGTCACCTGGGATTGCCCACCAATCTATTGTAACTTCAGGGTGCCACACCTGACAATGCCATCCACCAATCCCCCTTGCCCCTCCCACCTAATCCCTGCCCACCTGCCAACCCCCTGCAGCTCCAACAATGCCATCCAGCAGGCCCTCCCTGCCACAGCACAGGCACACTCCACTGAGGTCTCTCCCCCTTGGTGTGGTACCTCTTTCCCCCATCCTCCTTTGCCATCCTCTTTCCCCCACGCCCATCCATTCCCTTGCAGCCCCTCCTGCCAAAATGGCAGATGTTCCCCTTTCCTCTCCCTCCTTCTGCCTTGGCTCCCTTCCCTATCCTGCTGGAATAAAAGACCTCCTAGGTAACTAGGTCTGGTATTTTGGCTTACTGCAGCAAACTTACCCTGAAAAGAGGACTTGGCTGTGGGAAATTAGCTTCACATAAGAACTAAAAAGAACCAAGACAAAAAATGTTTGGGCCAGCCTAGACTGCTTTCCCAGGCCACAAGCTGGATGGGAAGCAGGGCTGCCGGGATTAGAATTGGAGCCCATAAGGAATCCTTGCGTGCTTAAAGGTGAGGACTTTAGCCACTAGGCCACTATGCCGGGCCTTGGCAGTAATTTTGACAGTAAGTGGACAAAAAGTTACAGAGGAAAAAGCATGGTTTATTCCATCCCACTCATATGAAAGAACTATGTAAATTCAGTGTAAGTTCACTCAGAAACTTGAGTTTTACTTGATTTCAGGGTTTGTACACAAGTATGGATACATTTATTTACAACTATGATTACAGGGACTGGCGTTGTGGTACAGGAAGTTGAACTGCTGCTTGTGACAATAGCCTCCTGTGCTGGAGTGCTGGTTCAAGTCCAAGGTCTGTGGTGTCTGACCCCACTCCCTGCAGATTCACTCGGGAAGGTAGAGGATGATGTCTTGAGTGCATGATTCCAGCCACCTGCGTGGGAGACCCAAATGAAGTTCTAGGCTCCTGGCTTCAGTCTGGCTCATGCCAGGATGTTATGGCCTTTCCCAAGTGAAACAGTGGATGGAAGCTTGTTGCGTGCCAGCAGGCAACATTCCTGCAAGAGACCAGGCTGAAGGACAAGAGCTGAAGGACCTACAAGATGTAAGAGAAATCGTGAGGGGCAGGCGATTCCACACACTCTCAAGGGATGAATGAGCAGGGCGCTCCCTGACATCAGCTTTCCTAAATTTCTTCTTTTTTGGTTTAATTCATCAAGGCTTTAATGAAATATAGAATCACCCCGAGGGATGTGTTTGGCCCAGAGAGGAAAGGAGGCACATGGCAGTTCAGCTTCAGCCTGAGACAGGAGCAGCAACAGAACACCTCCTCCTTTGCTGTGCTTCACTTCGCTGCAGTGGCTGTCACAGTTTTGCTTCATAGCATTTTTCTTAGCAGGCCGGTTACACGTGATCTTCCTGAGTCCAGCCCCGGAGGTCACACCAGAGCTTCACATCCAGGAGATCTGTTAGTGCCTTCTGGCTCTGCTAGGCTCCGGGATTCCAGTGAGGACCTCGCACTGGACACCAAACTCACACAGTTCTGCCTGGCAGTTTCCTCGGGCAGGCTGCCCAGGGCATGCCACACATCCCACCTGGCTTTATTGATGGAGTCAAATGCACCTGGGCTGGGTGCATTGCCGGGTCCTTCAGTACCATGCTTGCAGAGTGCAAACTCTGAGCTTCGGGTCATTTCCTGGAAGCTCCTTCAAGCGTTTCACCTGATTTTGGGTCTTTTATTTCTCTCTCTCTCTCTCTCTCTCTCTCTCTCTCTCTCTCTCTCTTTAAGGTATTTATTTTTATTGGAAAGGCAGAGAGACAGAGAGGAACATCTTCCATCGATGGTTCACTCCCCAAATGGCCACAACTGCTGAAGCTGAGCCAATTTGAAGCCAGGAGCTTCTTCTGGGCATCCCATGTATGCACGGGGGTCCCAAGAATTTGGGCTGTCCTTGACTGCTTTCCCAGGCCCTATGCAGGGACCTGGATGGGAAGTGCAGCCACTGGGACACGAATTGGTACCCACATGCGATTTTGGCATGTTCAAGGCGAGGACTTTAGCCTCTAGCCACCAGGCCAAGCCAAATCCTTGTAATTATTACGACCTGGGGCTAAGGCCCATGGCAGGTGTTGACGTGATGTGATTTCCCTCAGCGCTCTGAATGTCAAAGTAAGAAATTCAGTGCAGTGCGGGTAAACGAAGGGAGTATCTATGACTCTATTAAGGTAGCCTATGCCTTGTCATCTAATTAGTGATGCGCATGAATGAACGAGAGTCCCACTGTCCCTGCCTACTATCCAGCAAAACCACAGCCAAGGGAACGGGCTTGGCGGAATCAGCGGGGAAAGAGGACCCTATTGAGCTTGACTCTAGTCTGGCACGGTGAAGAGCCATGAGAGGTGTAGAATAAGTGGGAGGCCTCCTGCGCCCTCCCGTTTTCCCGCGAGGGGTTGTGAAACACCACTACTCTTAGCGTTTTTTCACTGACCCGGTGTGGCAGGGTTGGGGGGGTGGGGCAAGCCCCGAGGGGCTCCTGCTTCTGGCGCCAAGTGCCCAGCCATGTGCCAGCCGGGTGCGACCCACTCCAGGGACAGTGCCAGGTGGGGAGTTTGACTGGGGCGCAGGTGTCCTGAGGCGAGCTCAGGGAGGACAGAAACCTGCCATGGAGCAGACTGAACTCCTCTAAGTCAGAATCCCGCCAAGGCGGAACTGTACAGCAGCGCCAAAGGGCCTCGGTTGGCCTGGGATAGCAGGTTCCCTGCCGTCCGGCTGGCGGCCACGCCACGGGTCCTTCTCATGGGCAGCGTGCTACGCACCCACGCCATGCGTCTGGGGCAAGAGTCTGGTGCAGAGAGCCCTTCCCCTGGGAAACTGGGTGCGGCCGGAAAGGGGGAACGCCCTCTCACCTGTCACCCATCGCACATTCCTGGGGAACCTGGCGCTAAACCATTTGTAAGGGACCTGCTTCCAGGTCGGGGTTTCACAAGTAGCAGAGTGGCTCCCTCGCTGCCATCTACTGGAAAAGAAGACCTAGCTTTGGCAGAGTGCCACCTTTACTTGTAGTAAGAGTGAAAAATGACCATTACTTTTCTGAAAAACAATGTAACAGTATTTACAAAAGTCTAAAATGTCAGTGTAAAATGAATGCTACAGAATAATTTTTTTGGAAATGATGTGAAAGTTTTCATCAGAGAAGTGTGGCCATTGAAAATGCATGCAGGCAGGGATGGGAGGCACTTTACACAGATCAGTTCTTGATTTGATTATGAAAGGTCAATATACTAAGGTCAGGAAGGGTGATTATACTAAATATAGTGGCTAGTGTTGTGGCACAGTGTGTTAAGCCATCCCCTGCAATGCCAGAATCCATATGGAAACCTGCTTGAGAGCCAGTTGCCTCATTTCTGATCCAGTTCCTGCTAATATGCCTCGAAAAGCAGCAGAAA